ATGGAGGGAAAGGTGGTACAGCTGCGGCGGCGGCGATCGGGGAGATCTCCTGGCTTTCTATTGAGACTAGATGATACCCCCGCGCGTTGCGGCGGACAATTCAACAATGATTTAGAGAGATATGACAAAGTGAAGACATGTAGTGTATGATATTTATCGTAGTGACACGTTTCAGCACAAAAAAGTTAACATCGATGCATCTTCTCACTTCGTATCTCATCAAACTGCTGAAATTGGATCGTACATCTGATGTTATGATGTTAGGCAGGAAAATATTACAGGAAATAACACAATTATGAGCTGGCCAAAACCGTTAAAACTAATTTTGTATAAGACCAAATGAATGTTTGCACATCTAGAAGAAAATTGTGAAATAGAAATAGGTCAGTTTATTTGGAGAGATATCATGGCGTACCTAATTGCTCTGTCTGGCCGTGATAGCAAGATCCTACAATCAGCAAATGGAGAAATAAGCATGGGTTAGTGCTGATAAATTTGACTGTCTTATTAGTGGACATGAGGATGGGGCTGAACAAATACATATAAAATAAATATAATAGTCGCAAAATAAGCATAACACGACCATAGAAGACTGTTCTAAACATAATTGCTCAAAAATAGAAAGAAGAAAACCAATAAACCACCAAATAATTAAGAAAGGAATCGTCAATTAATAAACACACAAAGTTTTAGCCAGGACAGTTGCTAGTGCTCACCCCTGTTAGGAGAAAGTAAAGTGAACTGCCATCTATCTTACTTAAGGAAAAGATGGGTCCTGGGTCTCAACTGTTCGTTTGGTTGTTTTAGTTTACAAAGGTCAAGTGTTACAGACCAAATGCTTATAAATTCCCTACAGAGTTGGAACTCTGAAGATCAGAGCACTACTTTTATAGCACAAATAAACAAACAATAAATAGGCCCGTCATTGGTGTTGACAGTATATATATGATATGTGAGAATCAATCCTTCGGACTTAGATGGGTCTCAACTGTTCGTTTGGTAGTTTTAGTTTACAATGGTCAAGTTTTACAGACCAAATGCTTATGAATTCCCTACAGAGTCGGAACTCTGAAGATCAGAGCACTACTTTTGTAGCACAAATAAACAACCAATAATTAGGCCCCTGATTGGTGTTCATGGTATATATATATGATATGTCAGAATCAAAATCCTTAGGAGTTAGAACTCTATAGATCAAAGAGTACTTCTTTTATAGAACAATAAACACAAAGGAAAAAAGGCCACTGATTCGTGTTGACAGCGTATATAGGATAGGTTAGAATAAAATTAAATAATGTGTTGGTTCTCAAAAAAAAAAAACGTGTTGTGATCTGAATGGGCTCAATCTAGTCCGCCCAGAGATTCGATGTTTTAGTTTCTTCAAAGATCCTCACTAATTTGCATTTCCAAAAGATACAACCTCACTGCATTTTTTCCCTCAATTGTGAATTAACTTCTGGTCTAAAGACTAAATGTGCAAATAAGTTGAAGTTATTTTTCCAAGCTCACCTCCTCCGACTGGTGGAGGCGTCAGGTTCGCCACCCGATGGATGGTGGCGGAAAAATGGAAACAATTAAAATCACATTGTATAATCTAAAATGATATCCATTATCTTATCTCCAAGTGAAATAGGCACTTTGCAAAATCCATGTGGAGCACGAAGTGTTGTTAACCTGGATGGAGAGTGACGGAGTTGTTTGATGCAGAGGCACATATGGTAGGATATATGATCCAATGAAATGATGTGTCTTTGTCCAACACCATCCAAACAAATCGATTGGAGCAGATTTGAATTGTCGTTTAGGTACTCAATTGCTGGCCAAACAGTTCCACGAGATGAGCAGAAGCACTACTGCAGCGACATGACACCGAAAGAACAAACTGCAAAAACCAGAAAGTACCTGAACGATGAGGGATTGATGTCCTGGAAGGCCTGAACACAACGACCTTGTCATCCTGCACACAACAACGGTTAGCGTGTCTATAGCACTGCTTGCACACAAACAATAAAAGGTCTCCGATATACATTTATCATAACAGCGTGTCTATCAGAGACGGTGTACGGAACGCAGTAGAAGAGAGCGATGGTGGAAGCGGGGGCGCCGCGGGCGATGTTGCAAAACAGCAAAACACACACCAGTCCGCCATCTACCTTCGCCCTTTCCCCTCCACAACAGAGGCGTGGAAGCATAAAGACTTTTTCATGGCCCCCCTTCTAGGACACAGCAGACGAGGTCGCCAATGCTTGCCGCGGTCGTCGAATCCGTCGGAAGCATAAGCTGATTCCACAACGCACAATCCACGCAACTGGCTCTAGGCGAGGCCCTCCTGCTTGGTAGAGCAACAGTGGGTAGAATCCTCAACGGTTGTGCCTTCGTTGAGGATCTGGGATTCTGGGGATCGGCAATGGAACAGCGGCCCGACCTAAACGTGTTGGCTCCCGGCTTCCAGAGTCCCGCTTCCGCAGCAAAAATTCGGGCCGCCGGAGAAGTTGGAGGCCAGGGCTGCCAGACCTAGGAGATGGCGTTGGGGATGGGTCGTCTGCAATCGAGTGGGGGCAGCGCAAGCTCATAATTGATGCCCATCTTCCATGAAGGCTTCAAGATTTCTGACCAGAGAGAAGATGGACGTGCAGACAACTGAGAAACAGAAGCCGTGGGGGCTGAGATTAAGAGACGGTCCATCTCGGGTATTAAAGAGGGGAATGTCTGGTGGGTTTCAGAAGAGTAATTGTCTCGTGGGTTTCAGAAGAGGAAGAGGAACCGATGTGTGATTAAACCAGACGACTTAAATCGTGTAATTCTTTTGCTGAGGTGGTGGATTTGCTGAGTTGGATGGATGCATGTCTATGATGATGTGGATCGTGTGCATGTTGAGAGAATTGGTTGTAGGGGATAAACTTCTTAAGAATGTAAGATGTGGGATGCTTGGGGGTAAGAAAAAACCGGTCGTGCGGAGGGAAGGGAAAAAATGGGTAGGCGTGGGAACCAGTGGAAGAGGTGGGGGTCAATGGGAGGAGGAAAACGAACGATTACTAACGAAATGATAACGGACCTACCATCACAACAGACTCCCCCATTAGGAGTAGAGAACTAGAGATTAATTTTCCCTTCAAAAAAGAAAGTTAAATGAATTTACCACATCTGCTCACATACAATGTTTTATTGTGAACATGAGCATCAGAACTTTACCATGTCTGAAAAATGTTACTCGTCTTGCATGTTGCAGCACAACTTGAGGCAATTAACTGATAATTAATTCTCTGCGCTCATTTTAGATGAGCAGCTTCACTCTCCTGGGATCTGAACAACACAGCGGACTGACATCAACCATCAATTGTGAAGAATGGAAAGTCGTTCTCATTATTAACATTTATGAACACTTCAAGATTTATTCAGTGAAAAACAAGGACAAATTAAAAATAGTGTGTCAATCCTTTAAAATAGTTTGGAACAAACAGCAAATCAACAACCATCTGGGCCAATGGGGGCCCTATGCCCTTGTACCATAAAGGACAATTGTACGTCCAGCGTACCCTTTCAAGTAAGGACATTAAAACTTTGAACATAGCAGTAAAAGATATGCATAAAGCGGCATAGGTAATGGAAACATCTGAAAACAATAAGTTTACCTTCAACACAAGTTGCATAGATCCACTGTGCAGGTGTGAAAAAAGTCATGAACTATCTCCAGCTTCACTTCATAACACACCTAGGCCTTCAATTATTGATATCATTCACTTAAATATGAGAATGGTTAAAATTGTTGGCAGAAATAAACATTCAGAACTGATTATCATAGATAAGTTTATACAATCACAAGTGAGCACACTGAAATAAATCCAACAGTAAGCAAGCAACGTAAGTAAGATAAGCTAATGGTTATAAAAATAAAGTATATTTATTGCTCTTTCTTCCTCTTACAGAGAAAAACAACATTTGTGTCCATAGGTTGAATGACCCACTCCACAAACACAACCCGAGACACAGGTATGCAAGCAGATAAAGGATGGAAGAGTTGCAAATAGTTATTTCTCAACAAATACATATCCTTGATCCCAAATACACATAAGGAAGAACAATAAAGTCAAAGAGTTGGGAGAATTTCGTCATGTCAGTGGAAGAGGAAAACTTCTCCGTTGCTTGTACACACCACTTCAGATTTACAGTAGTTGGTTGCCTCTTCAAATGTGACAGCTACTTGGTGAATATAAATTTCATCAGAAGTTCCTGCAGCACTTAATTTGCAACCATAAGTACTGCACGCCATAGAGATGTTTCTTAATGATGTGAAAAGTAAATATTCAAGGCATCCTAAATAAAGGCATATGCCAAGTCAAACTCATGAGGTCATATAAGAACCATCTGTTAACTACATTAAATGTTCATATATTTTCTATAAACTTGGTTAAAGTTCATAAGAGTATGACTTCGAAAAAATTCTTATATGCAGTATAAGTTGGTAAGGAGGCCGTTCTAGAGTATTAAGAACATTCAATATTTTCCAAATAAGTTAATGGTGGCAAGAAGGTATTATCATGCATATGTGCAGTGACTCCATGCATTCTACTCCCTCTGTTCCGATTTACTCATCGTGGTTTTAGTTCACAAAGTAGATACTAAATCACACAAAAACTTGGAAAAAGAATAATCAGTAATAGGATAATGAAAACTTATCATTTTGCTAAAAAATATTGTTGTTTCTTTTTTGGAAATATGCACTGAAGCACTTCCTCTTGCATATCTGTACATGTTAGACAAAAAACTAAAAGCAAGTGAGCCAAGAACACATGTAAGTGGTAGTTACCTTGTACTCCCTCCGTTCCTAAATAATTGTCTTTCTAGAGATTTCAACAAGTGACTACATACGGAGCAAAATGAGTGAATCTACACTCTAAAACATGTCTACATACATCCGTATGTTGTAGTTCATTTGAGATGGCTAGAAAGACAATTATTTGGGAACGGAGGGAGTAGAAGCTACTGATAGTATGCATGAACTACGGGAGGTGGAGCAGCTGATCAACAGCCAAATCTAGTGAATCAACGATCTTCCGCATAATCTTTCTTCCAGGAATTAAGATACAACATAGTTCCAAGAGGAGCAATGCAAAGATGTTATGAAACTAAGTAATTTAATCATATTAAAATGATCTTTCACCAGTTGTACAACACGGAGGCAGAACTATATGTTATCAGCAACTAACAAAAGGATACAGCTGCATACTTAGGCTTTCCAAGCCTCGCATTTCCTCATTTAACCTGCAACATACATCATATTATGCTCCAGAAAGCAGTTGCAAGAGAGACAAAATGAACTGAAACAATACAAATGCATAGAAACAGCACACGATTTTGGAAAGAACAAAATACATCCGTTGTCTAAGAAGCTTTTTCTGCTCTATGGAACTGCAACATTTTGATGTGATGAAAGGAATTCCTGAAAGCAAACTTGATTTTGAGCCAATATCAGTAGTATAAGTATATGATTTATCCCGAATTTGTA